CAAGAGAAAAAATGCCTTTTGGATAGTGAAGATAATTGACCTAGTTAAAACAAAGAATATTAAAATAGAGTGGTTTAAGTTAAAAAGTCATAGCAAAGACAAATAGAATGATAAAGCTGATAGCCTTGTGAAAAAGAAACAATAAGCAGAAAGATAATATATATAGAAGTCAGTTGCAAAGAGATAGAATACTGCTTAAAATAGGAAAACAAATGAATAAACATGCCAACAAGACTTCTATATAAGCTAGTAACAAATGCCAGACTAGGTGCAGAATGGAAAGAAACAATAGCAATCAAGAGTTTAGAACTGATAACAGAAATAATGATTTATAACTGGGCATATTTTTGGAAAAGACTAAAGTCAACCAAAGGAGTACATTGCATAACAAGAAGGAGCAGCATAAGAAGAAGTACTTTTATAAAATGTGTATTGGATAAACTCTTAACACTAGAAGAACTTAACAAAAGAAGCCTAGATCTATATGTCAAGACAAAATTAAAGAAAAACAAAAACATCTGGCAGCATGCAAGGGATAAGCAAGCCTTTGGAAGATAATACAGAAAGTATCCATTGCAACAGCATGAAAAGTATTAAAAAAAGAAGAAAAAACTAGAGATAAAAGAAATAGAAATGTGAAAAGCACTAATCAAGGGTCTAATTCTGAAGACAACTCAAAACAGGTTAGCACAGCTTCTAGATATGAGAACAAGACAATGATTTGTAAACACATTAGCAGAAACAGTCTGGAATACCTTTTACAAGCAAGTTTGAAGAATATAATGTAAAAAAGTCAATAAATAGGAAAAAAGAATAGTAAAAATTAACAAAATGAAAAAGGAACTTAAAAGAAGAAAAAGAATTCAAAGAAGAAAAAAAAGGCTAGTTAGCAAGAAATAGAGGAAAAAAAGAAAAGCAAAAGAGAAAGAAAAGCAAATTGAAGATAAAACTAGAAAAAGAATTTTAGAGCTTGTCATGAAAAAAGAAAGACTCTTTCATTATAAACTTTAAGTAGTTAGACAAGCAGCTTACTTTTGTTTAAAGTAATGTAACAAGTTGCACTTAGGTGCCATTAGGGTGGCTAGGTGATGCTAGACTTAGTTATTAGGTACATCTATGTAATTACATTAGTAATTTTAAGAATTTTAATAAAGTACAAGCATGACTACTTAAGTTTTTTTTTTTTTTATTCCTGGTGTTGATACCTAGAGGTGCATGTGACACTCGTACAAGCATGACTACTTAAGTTTTTTTTTTTTTTTTATTCCTGGTATTGATACCTAGGGGTGCATGTGACACTCATACAAGCATGACTACTTAAGTTTTTTTTTTTTTTTTATTCCTGGTGTTGATACCTAGGAGTACATGTGACACTCTTTTATTAAAATTAAAAATATATTTTCCATTTTTTGGGAACAGTTTTTCAGATTGTAGTACAGAGTATGTATGTTTTTGTAAAGATGTTTGATTACTATTAGGGGTAGAATTCTGCTTGTGAGATTGCTGTTTCCCTATTTGAAAGAGGTGTAGGTGCATCATATTTCATAGATTATATTTATGTGCAGCCAATGAGTGGCTTGTTTGCTTTTGTTATTTGTAATGTTTGTTGCTGTAAAAATTTCTTTTATAGAGGTCAGTTTTTAGAAAGCCATAGGCCTGTTTTCAAATTTCTTTGCTCACTTTGCATTTAAGTGCAAAATGTTCAGCTGTTTGCAGCTCATTGTCACACCAGAGACAGTTTCCTGTGATAGAAGGGCTTATGTGCTGTAGCCAATATCCTAATGATAAAGCTTTATGAAAAAGGCACTATAAGATATTCTTTTTCTTGTTAGTTGTTTTCTTAACCAGCATCCAGTTAGGTTGTTGGCTAGGATTAGATGGTTCAGATGTCAATCTTTTTTTTAGAATTTCAATGATTTTCTTGACTAAAAGCTTTTCTTCATTAAGATTTTCTATTTCAATATCTTTGAGCTTCCAAGACCAGATTGTTGTTGCAGTAACTTTGCCTTTGGCTTTTTTGTTTTTGAGTAGGATTTCTGCAATTTTTTCTCTTTCATATTTGATCCATGTAAAGTCACTTATAAGGAGTTTTTTCTATACTGAGATTAGTCTAACATCTAGCATATTTCCTACTATTAGGGCTTGAAGGCCATTCTGTTTAAGTGATTGCTAAAATATAAAGTATCTAGGCAGCATTCTGGAATTGTTTTTAATCCAGAGTGTTATAAGTCTGTTGATTTCTGCAATCTGTTTTTTACTTGGCAGAGTCAGGTATGCTGCATACCATATTCATAAAAGTATAAGTGCCTTGGCTAAAAGGATTTTTCCTCTAAAAAAAAGATTTTGGTTAGATGATTTCTCTAGTGTTTTTTTTTATCCTAGTGATTGTTGTTGTCCATAAGTCTTTTTTAGAAATGTCTTTTGTGTTTATTTCATATTTAAGAATTGTTAGTGTTTTTTGTTCAGTAGTTTTAGTAAATTGGAATTCATCTTTAAATCGATCCTGCAGGCTGTGTTTGTAAAAAGCACTAATTTAGTTTTGTTTTTGTTGATTTTTGCATTAAAGGCAGCTTCATAGGTTTTAAAAAGTTGCATAATATTTATCCAGTCTGATAATGAGCTTATTCCTATTGTTAAGTCATCTGCATAAGCTGACAGTTTAAAGAACTGGTTTTTTAAAGGAATTTCTTGAGTGTTTCTTTCTAATTGTATAAGTAGTGGTTCAAATGCAAGTACATATAGTAAGAAAGAGAGAAGATCTCCTTGTTGTACTTCTCTTTTTACTCTAAAAGGTTCAGATAGAACATTGCCTTCCATAATGTGTGCCATTTGGTTTGAAAAGAGATTGGCTACCAAGTTAGTCATTTTTTTGTCAAAGTTCATTTTTTTTAAAACCAGATTCAGAAAGTTATGGTTCACTTTGTTGAATGCCTTTTGCTGATCTACTAAAAGCATCCAGTGCTGTTTGGAACTGTCTAATTAGTTTTTTAATGTGATAATTATATCTAAGGCTATGTCTGTTATTGATCTTCCAGAAACAAATTCTTGTTGGTGATTGGGAATAATTTTCTTGCAAATTACATTAAGCCTGTTTGCTATAATTTTCATAAAGATTTTAGCATCAGAATTTACTAATGAGATTGGGCACCAGTTGTTTAAGTCTTCTAAGTTTTCTGACTTTTTGAGAATTAGTATGATTATGTTTCTGCACCATGAATTAGGTAAACAACTAGTATCTAATGACTGGTGCTATTTCTAATAATGTGAGTTTATAGAATTTGTAAGTTAGCCCATTAGTGCCAAGTGACTTGTTATTAGAAAGGCCTTGTATTGCTTGGGTTATTTCTTCTTGTGAAATTCTTTTGACTAGATTGTCATTTTGGTTCTGTATTACTTGAGGGAGACTTTTAGTAATCTTTTTTGCTGCCTTAAGATCTATGTTTTCTTCTTTGTAGATTTTCATATATTGGTTTTTAATATATGTAAGCATATCTCTGTTTTCTGAGCTTAAAGTTTCAGGTATTTCAATTCTAGACTGAGCACTTTGTGACTTTCTTGCTATATATCTTGAGAAGAAGCATTTTGTTGACTTTTCTCCATTTTTGATCCATTTTGTCTTTGACTAAATTAACCATGACTTGGCCATCTTGGTTAGTTTCTCTTGTATTTGGAGGTTTAGTTCTTCTATGTTTTTGTTAAGATGTTCTTTCAAAAAATCTGCTGCAAGCTCCTTACTTAGCTTTGTAATATCTTTGTTTGGCCTTGCCATTTTGTTTTTAGAAGCTTTGGGTTTTCAAAAGGCTCTGATGATTGATTGTATATAGATTTTACATAAATCCCAGTTTTTTTGCTAAGCCAGTATCCTGGATTTCATCTAGTACCTCTTTTTTTAGTAATTCATTTTTAAAAGATTCTTTATTGAACTTCCAGACTGAAGGCTGTTTAGATTCTTTGAATTCCAGTATGCATCTTACTAGGAGATGATCTAAATTACCAAAGTGCATGCTAACTTTTGATATAAGGTGATTGTGATTCTCATTTATAAAAATGTAGTTCAAACATGTAGCTATTGAGTGGTTATTTTGTGTTTTTTAAAAAAAAGTTAGGAAGGGCTTGGTGCTTGACACCTTTGCTGTGTTAATAAATTCTTTTGTTAGATTAGAGAGCTAGGTTCTAGTTAAATCATGTTAAGCTGTTATTTGACTTATTCTGTTGTCTTTGGGGTTAAGATTAACATTAAAGTCTTCTGCTATAATGTTTATATTATTTTCTTTAATTTGAGGTTTCTAATCATTAAAGAAGATTATTCTGTTACTAATTTTTGGTAGTGCATAGATGTTTGTTATTTTGAAGGAGTATCCTTTAAAAACAAAGTCTGTTATTATTATTCTTTCTTTGTGATTTATTTGAGTGTTTTTGAATTCAATGTCTTTGCTTTCTGCTAGGATTGCTGTTTTTTTTAGTCCAGATCGAGTTGTAAATCCATTGTTGTTTATGTTTTTTCATTATTAAGATTAGTTTTCTGAATTATTATTATGTCTAGTTTGTATGATTTTAAAAGGGTTAGTAAATTTGTTTTTTTTTCTTTATTGTTAAGTTCTTTTACATTTAGTGTTGCTATTTTTAGTTTGGCTTTTTGAGTCATAAATTATAGAGTTGTTAGATCCCTTGAGTTGGGAGTGACTTGCTTCTTCATGGGTTTTCTCATAAGGAGATGATTTTGTTTCATCTTCCTGAGATGTTCTGTTTCCTTTTTTGGTTTTTCTGTTAATAACTGTAATAAAGCTATCTGTTTCTTCATTTTTGTCAGAAGAAGAAGCTGCTTTGAGGATGTGACTTGCAGATGGATGTGGTGTTCTATAGCTATAAATAACAAGTTTATCTCTTAGTAGCATTTCTGTATTTGGTAAAAGATCTTCTTAAGTTATCACTAGCATTTGTTCATCTGAGCTGTCATTTGTTGTAGCTAATTCTGCTAGAACCAGAAGCTGAAGGTTTTGCTAATGGTTAGGTTCAGTTTCTTCTAAAACCATATGTGCATCATCTTTAGTATTATTTTGTTCTTGTTGATTAGAGTTCACTGGTAGTAGGAGTTCTTCATTGCTTTGTTTGGTACTTTCTAGAATCTCATTTAACTCCTAAAAGTTATTTGAGAGTCTTTTGTTATATTTGTTCTCTTTGTATTGTTGGTAGCTAATTCATAGATTTACTGAGTCCTAAAATTGTTAATATTCTTTTTTAACATGACCTTATTGTTCACACATGTGTGAAATGAGATATTTTGTTTTCTAGATTAGGGTCATCTGAGTTTTCAAAGATTATAATCCATTGGTCTGTAAGGTAAGGTGTTCCTTCAATCAGTAGAGACTTGATTGATGTGATTCTGCCAACAAACTCAAAGGCTTCTTTTATAGCATCTGATATTGCTTCTTTGTTACCCAGTAGAACATTTCTGATCTTGACTGAAAGAAATGATTTTCTTGAATATATAGGAATAAAGCTAAAGAAGGTTTTGCCAAAAATATTAATACCCTTAATAGCATAATGTTTTAATTTGTCTTTGTTTTTAAATACAATTTCTAAGTATGTACATGTTTCTTTTGTAAAGTATTGTTTTGCTGCTATAACATCTTCTTTAAGGTTCTTAAATAATAAGACCATAATTTTATTGAAAAAGCTATGCATGTCTTGAATATCTGTTATTAGAGCATTTTTAATTTTTGATCTAATTTGGCTTCTGGGCATGAAGGAGGAGTAGGTAGACTGTTCTCTTCTTAATTTTGGAAAGAGACTAGACCACTGTTTAGTTAGTGTTTTTTTTTTGGCCTTTTTGTCTATTACTGTCTCTTTGTAAGTCATTGTAGAGGTTAGTTTTATGTGCTTCATTTGACAAACTATTACTTTGCAAGTTTTCTGTTGTGTCTAGCTTCTTTTCTGTTGGTTTTCTGTTGTGTCTAGCTTCTTTTCTGTTGTATTTTTAATTTCCTTTAAGTTGTCTAATATTACCTGTTTTTCAGAGATTTCTTTTTTCTTTTTGTTCATATTTAGTAGCCTCTTCTATATCAGTTATCAAGTTTGAAGAGCTTGATGTGTTTTCTTTGTTTTTCTTTACTTTTTTTCTGCTACTTGTTGATGCTATTTTTTTTGTTATTTTTATGCTTTTTGTATATTAGAATTCTGTAAAGAACTTTTTTCTTGAAACAAAAGCAAGGGCCCTTGTTTTAGTAAATACTTTAACCAGTTTTGTCTTGTTGTTTGCTCTTATTTTTAACAAAAGGGTTACTCTACTTCAAAACTTGTGTGTTCAGGAGAGAGTGTATGCAGATCTTTTACTACTTAAGTTTTTTAAAAAAATAATAATAAATTTATTTATGCTTTTTAATAAATACTATGCAACTATAGTATTTGAGTAGTTTCAATTTTGAACAATCTTATAATTTACTGTCTTTCTTATATTAGTGAACTAAGATAAGCTCAAGTAGTTTTTTACTTATTTCTTTATAAAACTTTTTTTTTTTAAAAAAAAAACACATCTAAGCATGCTTTTATTTATATCAAAAAATTATTATATTTACATATATATATATATTGGGATTAGTTTGTGTAATTATAAAGAGGTACTAAAAATGGCAAGCAGTTTCTTAGCTGTTTTTGATTCTGAGCTAACCCTACTGTAATTAAATTTGTGAAGTAGGTTAAGTTTATATTTTAGTTTGTGCTTGGTTATATTAACTATGGCTTCTAAAGAAGTGATATTATTTTCCTATTTGGCTTGAGTATATCAGCATCAAATCTCATATATAACTGTTATATGTAGCCAAATTATTGCTTTCTTCTCTTTAGTATTATGAACATTAGCAGCTGTAAAAATATTATTGAGCATAAAAGAAGTGGTATAGGTTTGTGATGACTTGAAAGCTTTATATATTGTATAATGTTTGAGTGACATAGAGGCAGTTAGAGCAGTCACCTGATTTATTTTGGTGAAAGTAGCTAATTGGTAGCCAAGAGGAAGTGCTCTGTAAAACAATTACCAGAAGATATTCTTTTTCTTGTTTAGAACATTTCTTAGCTTTATCCAGTTGTGAACAGTAGAAATGTCTTTGTTCAGGTTTATGTTCTCAGCATTTGCCTTTTTAGCTCTTGGTTGATATAAAAGCCTTTAAGATAAAAATTGGACTCAAAAAAAAAACTCTTTCCGGTTCATCTCCGGAAACTAAGCAAAAACCAAAATTTCAACAAAAATTAATACATTTTCATTTCAGAACTCTAACAGGACAAGGGCCCTTATTCCAAAGAAATGCAAAACAATGTCTTTAAACATGAACAAGGCTCAATACAAAAAGCTCAGGCTTGACACAACAGCAGAAAAAACCTTTAACTTTACAAAAACTGAAAACAGCGAGAAAGAAACTCCAAAAGCAAGAAAAAACAGCAACAACTTTATTCAGGAAACCAACAACCTAACAGATAACTATACAATAGAATGCACAGCTTGCTGGGCCAGCCAAGTAGAGGAAAATGAGTTTCTTGAAACAAATAAAGAAAACATCAGCAAAACGAAGCACGTAATAGTGCCAAAAAGTCAACAAACCTACTTCAAGTAAACAACAAACAACAATGGAGTCACATGCCTCCTGATGATAATCTAAGACACGTGTCTGGTAGCAACACATCAAAACACACACAAGTTGATGAAAACACTGTTTAACCTCAGCAAAGTGTCACAAACAACGTGGCAACAACCTACAATAAGAAAGTTAACAACATAGAAGCTACTACTACAAAAAACGCCAAACCTAAACAATGGTCAGACCTTTTCGCAAAGCTTAAAGGAGGGAAAGCAATCTACACAAACTCCACCCCTAGACAAAGAATTCGTTCCAAAAACAACAATGCTTTAATCTTAGATATACAAAGTCTTAACAACATCACAAATAATGATATCATTACAGCATTAGCCTCAAGTATCGGTGAAGACTTTCTAGCAGCCAAAATACATATATCCGGAGGAAAAAGAGCTTTTCTGGAAGTAGTTTTCAAAAACAACGAAAAAGTCCAGCTTTATGCTGCAGAAGGAATTACACTCTTCAAACAGTCACTTTTTGGATACATCCCAATAAACCTTAACCATACCTTTCTTACAGTGAAACTGAGAAACATGCCTTTAGGTGAATCCAAGCACATCAGTAACCAAATTATAGAGGCCTTTCAAGATGTAGGGCAAATTGCATCAGTCAAACCTCTCCTCTTCGAAGGGACCAATATCTGCTCAGATCAATGGTTAATCACATTT